TTCTTGGTATAGAAGAATGAGCATTTCCAGCATTGCATCTGTTTGTTGAAAACAGCTCAATTGGTATTCTGTCAATTCCTGGAGCCTTGTTTTTTGCCAATGCCTTCATAGCAGCTTGGACTTCTTCCTTCAGTACGATTGGTTCTTGATCATATTCTACCTCCTGAAATGGCTGAACATCAACCAGTTATTTTTGGTACAGTGACTCTGCATTTTCCTTCCATCTTCTTTTGATGCTTCCTTCATCGTTCAATATTTTGCCCATAGAATCCTTCAATATTGCTACATGTGGCTTGAATTTTTTCTTCAGTTCAGCTTGAGAAATGCCAAGCATGTTCTTCCCTTTTGGCTTTCTAACTCCAGGTCTTTGCACACTTCATTTTTGCACAGTTCATTTCAGCTCACTAATGCCTAGCTATCAATCTTCATGTGTTCCACTTCATTTTTGATGACTTACAATTTTCCTAAATTCATACTTTATACATTCCAAGTTCTGATTATTAATGGATGTTTGTAGCTGTTTCTTCTCATTTTGAGCTGTGCCACATCAGCATATGAAGGTCCTGAGAGCTGTACTTCATCCATGTCACTAAGGTTAACTTTACGTTGAGGAGGCAACTCTTCCTCAGTTGTATCTTGAGTGCCTTCCAACCTGAGGGGCTTATCTTCCAGCACTATATCAGACAATGTTCCACTGCCATTCATGAGGTTTTCACTGGTCAATTTTTTAAGAAGTAGATAGCCTGGTCCTTCCTGCTAGTCTGTCTTAGTCTGCAAGCTTTGCGGAAACATGTTGGCCATGGGTGACCCTGCTGGTATTTGAAATATTGGTGGCATAGATTTCAGCATCACAGCAACACACAAGCCACCATAGTATGACAAGCTGACAGACGAGTGGTGGTTTTAAGAAATAGTATAGTGTATTATGAGTGGAATCCCCATTTGCGCTTTTTGAGAGCTACTGGTAAATGTCAGAATTACTTATTTATTTTTAGTTGTCTCTCTCTCTGACACCATCCTAAAACTTACTCATGTGGGGCTTTGGGATATATTTAGATTGGCCACTCACACACAGAAAATTCCAACAAAGAAACCTTTAGCAGTGGTTACCTTTAGGGAGTGGGATGAGAGTTGGAAAGATGGGGGTGATTTTTACCCGTCTGTTCTTTTGAAGGAGCCCTGGTGGTGCAGTGGTTAAATGCGAGGCTGCTAACCGAAAGATTGGTCGTTTGAACCCACCAGCCGCTCTTTGGGAGAAAGATGTGGCAGTCTGCTTCCATAAAATTACAGCCTTGGAAAACTTATGGAACAGTTCTACTCTGTCTTATAGGGTCACTATGAGTCAGAATCCACCCAACGGCAACGGGTTTGGTTTTAGTTCTTTTGAAAAGGTCCTTTCCCTAGCATATAATATTCTTACAAACAAACATTAAGTTGACAGAACATGTGTGAATGTACTGAAAGTCCCCCTTGAAGTCTTACAAAGCTACCATATCTCGTTATCATTTTCTGGTTCCTAGCAAAAAATCAAGTTTAATTAGTATTCAATATAATTCAAAATAGTTTATATTCAATTGTGTTTTTTCATTGTTGTTTTCTCCTATTGATTTTTTGGCAAATGTACAGATGGTCCTGGTGAAGTGACATTATGAGTTGACTCTCCTGGGCTGGTCTGGGGACCTCACCATAATCTATAACACTGTCTTTAACAGGAAAGTGAAGTCCAAGTTCCAAACTACCAATAAGCAAACTAACTTTTCAAGCCTGACCCATCATCTGGTTAAGATCTGACTGAATTAGAATTTCTAAGAGAATTTATGAAATATTCTTAAATTATTTTCATTCTGTCTGACATCTATTATGCTAAGGGATGGATGACTCTGTGTATATAATCCCGGGTCTATATACAGAGACTCTCAGAAGAAGTACTCTGAGTTAATACTAAAGATTCTACATTTTGTTGTACATGAATCATTTCCAGTTTGCTTTATGAAACATAAAGAACCTGATATTGTCTTGTATTATATATAGAACTTACTTCTAATGAGTGAAATAAAATGACAGAATAGGAAGAAGGGAGCTGAGGGCAATGCAGTGACTTGGATGAAAATGAACATTTCAAATATGGACAGTTTCCCCTCTAAGTTTAGACGTTAAAATTTAGCCAAGGTCAGAAGTGACAAAATCACCACTACAAACTTGACCAGTGACCTCAATCCAGTTATTGCAAACGGTGTATTATACACTGTAAAACTGTTACGGCAGATGGCAATCCAGTCACCTCTCGGTAACTCATGCCTAGCTAACTGTCCGCGTCCTTGGCGAAAGGTAAGCACAAAGCCCACCCAGAGCGTGTGCCCGGAGACAGTGTGGATTAGCTGACAGCGCACAGTATGAGTTCCCCGGTGCACACTTGAGGGGGCAAGAACCACTGCCAGCATCCCTATTCCCACTTCACATTCTGAAATTATGAAGGGCTTACACTGCATCTGCTCCGTTTGTACGTGTTTCCTTAATGACACTATCGCCTGAGCTAAAGGGAAAAAAGGCAAAGTATGACAGCACCCGTCCCTTCCATTTCTCTTTGTTGTTTCTGGATTATTTATAGCCTTTGCCTCTACTACAACTTTGAAAGCAAAAGGTCCAGATCTCACTCATTTGCAGTGGATCGATACAGACTGGATTTCTTGAAATTCAGAACACTGCAGAGCAACTCCTTAACAAGCTCCAGGGAAGACAGACTCAAGGGAGGCCTGGAGATTTGTCACCCAGCCTAAGAACAGACTGCACATTTACAGCGAGACTGTGACCTGCCAGCACCAGGAAAATATAACCAAATGTATCCCAAACATCATGGGGTGTAGTCTGGTGAACCTGACTGCACTTACAAGAAAGGCCTCTTTGTTTGACACCAAGGTTAAGTCAGTCAAACTGCCAGGTGACTAAGGAGTAAGTAATTTAGAAAAATCAGCCATTGAAAACCCTATGGAGCACAGTTCTACTCTGACACACATGGGGTTGCTGTGAGTCAGAATCAACTCGACGGCAACTGGTTTTACTGGGAATTTAGTCCTTCAGAGAAGCCTTGGAGGATTTGGGGAAAAGAGGATTCAAAAATACGTGCATAATGGGCATCCTGGAAGGTGTGTGTCCTTCCGGATGGACATGATTGGACCACTTTGCGTTTTGTGCTTCAGAGTCGGCTGAGCAGGCTGCCTGGATGTCGGAAGGGTGGGGAGAATGGGACGAGAAGAGTCAGAGTACATCCAGGACTAGCCCACAGAGTGGGGCTGGCCGGCGGCTGAGGGGAGCCTGGAGGAAGGAGGGTTTTCTCAATCTGCACCTCCTGGCTGGAGTCCATCCATTCATCCAGCAGCCTGTGGCTTAGCTTCCTGAGACCAAGACCAGAGTTCAGAGAGGTAACAGCAACCATCCAGGACCTGCCTCTCGTTACAACACTAAGGCTCAGAGAATGAAGCCTTATCTCTTTGTATTCAATTCATATTTTGTAAGAACCCACAAGATTCATCATACTGAACAGACATTTCACTGCTCATGGGAAAGTCTACAGTCCCAGCCCTCAAGGCAACCTCTTCTAAGTTTGATTAAAGCTGACTCACAGTCTGAATTCCAAGGCTGTTGTTCCCCACAAGGCAGTGAAGAAACCACCTACAGAAGTTCTGAAAACACCCTTGGGGTCACCATGATGCCACGGCTGGCTTGTGGACCTCTGCCATCCACCTGGGTGCTGAGGCCTTTGCCACCTTCTGGTTTCTCTCTGCCTGCACCAAGTTCCTGGCCCAGGTCTGGCTTCCTGACCAAGTTCCTCATTTCTGGTTTCCTACATTTGCCCCAAATCAGACCCTGGATTCACTTCTGCTCTTGCGTTAATCGTGGTAACTTCTCCCAGCCGTTTCCTGAGGCTCTTCCTCAAGTGGGAACAGGCATTGTCCTGGGCTCTGGCTTTCTCATTCATATAGAACCACCCCTCTGCCTGCTCTCCCATATTGCACAAGTCTAGATCTGGATTTGCCCTCTGCTGAGCCCCTTTGGGTCAGCATTGTGTTGGCATGGTCTGCAGAGCTGGGAAATTCAGTATCTGTCCAGAATGGTACCCCTGTTCTCCAGGGACACCCCTCCCCTACATAATATCAGGTGCTTTTGGAGCACCTGTCTAGCAATGGCCTTGTTCTGTGGTGGAGACTGGGCTATTCCAACCTCACCTTGTGGTATATATGTCTATGTACTTTTTCCCTTGGACTGATGTCAGTCTCTACTTCCAAACTTATGTTCTTAGCCCACTGTCAATCAGGGTCCAACACCCACCAGCACTAGATTTCAACATCACCCTCCCCTGCCAAAGCTCGTCTGAGTTACAAGAACATCTGGTGGCAAAACACCCATGGGTCTGGAGGAGCTGAGGCTGGTGAAGAAACAATTCATTACCAACAGCTCCTTCACCTGAATCAATGATAGGTGCCTTCATGCCAAGGGCATACGGTGGTTACGAGGGCAAACGACTCACGTGAAAGCAGCGTGTGAACCATAAAGCACAGACAAATGGTAGGGGCCATCATGACTCAGCTGGACTGAAGGCTCCATACTGGCCATCCCCACTGGGATCAGCACAGCCTCCCAAACTAGGTCTGGCCTCATGCTCCCCACCCCCCCCCACCGACCCCTGGCTCCCACAACACCCTGCACTCGTCTCTGTCACTGCAAGTGGCACCATATAATCATCCACTCCACATCGAGACAGCATCTAATTAGTCTCTGTACACCCATAGTGCTTGACACATGGAAGAACTTTACAAACGATGAATGAACACATAAACGAATAAACAAAGAAATGAATAAAGCAACGTCTGCTTTCACATGCTGATTGAGCAGCAGCTAGGAAACTTGAAATAAATGAATAATTAGAACGACTTTAGTGTCACCCTTTGGTCCAAGGTTAAGACATTCTAGCCTTTACTTGATCCCTTCTCCCTGGGACTGACCTGTATGGCTCCATGGTCCGAATGCCGTAGAACAGCGCCTCCTCCAGCAAGCCAAGGTTGATGCAAGCATCCATGGCGCAGTCGAGCACCTTCAGCTGGTAGATGTTGATGTCAGGAAGCCGCTCAGAGTTGCTGCTTATGATCGTCTGGCACATTGCCAGAACCTGTTCCCACTCTGCAATTAACCTTGGTTAAGGATTCATTGTCTTCACTGAGAAAAAAATAAAGTAAAATGAGATTCTCTAAAAGGCTGAGGAGCTCCCAGGCACAGGAGGGGAGGCAGCATCATTTATTGCACAGATGAGTTGCCTGAAAACACATCTGAGGAACAAAAACACGTAAGTGGCATCTCAGCTAAGGAAACTGTTTACATCAACAAATCATCTCCTAACCAAGCCTGTGCTTTGGGGGATTATGTTTTCCAAAGAACCATTCTCTCTTCATATGCTTATATGTATTCTCTTCAAACCTAGCCATGAAATAAGGGCAGCTGTTTATCAAACTGGCTTAAAGACTAAGTTAGCTCAATTTAAAATTATTAACTCTGCTAACTTGTTTCAAAACTGATAAGAAATTCAAGAAGCTTTAGAAAGATTAATTTTTAGAAAGGAGTTCATGTTTAATTCTGTGTCATCTGAATCCTGGGCATCTCTGAAACCAATACACACACAACACACACACAGTGGGTGAAGCAATTTGAAGAAACCCATTTCCACTGAATCTCATATTTTAAGTTTTGGGTTATAAAGCAAAAGCGACCCAAGCCTATATGTAACCAAATGAAGGTTAAAATATTCTTATGTCAATCCCCTCCCCCCCAAAAAAGAGCATGGCTTATGCAGATGAATTATGGGCAAGAGGAATGATGCTTTTAAAAGGAGGGGGAGAAGACCCAATATCCAGTGACTTTCTGATTAACACCAGTCAATGACTTAATCTCACGAACCCTCTGTGAGTCCTCACTTTTTACAACTGGTATTCCCTGTCCTCTTAGAGGCAGTCAGAGGATTGGGGACGTGGTCAAGGTCGGCAGTTCAAACCCACCAGCTGCTCCGCGGGAGAATGATGTGGCACTCTGCTTTGTAACAAAAGATTACAGCTTTGGAAACCCAATGAGGCAGTTCCACTGTGTCCTATAGGGTCGCTGTGAGTCAGATTCAACTCAATGGCAACAGGTTTGGTTTTTGGTATGAGAATGCTGTGAAGCCCTAAGAGGCGAATTGCCTTGGAAGGCTAGAGTGGAGGCACACAGTGGCCTCGCACAGTTCTCTCCTGTGCTGCTGTGATAGGTGAGCTGGAGGCAACTATCAGCCCTTCCCCCACCCCTACTTCACTTTCAACCAGTGTGACTCCAAATCCATGTGCCTTCCTATGTTGTAATTCCACTGTGGGAGAGAAGAAAGGTTTGAAGAGTTCAGATATAGTGGAAATAGCATAGGCTTCGAACACAGATAAAGCTGGACTTGAATGTAAACTAGTCCTGTCATTTGTGAGCTTTGAGGTTCTGAGGAACTCACCTAAGTGTTTTGGCATTGGATAGAAACAGGAATAAAACTCATTGCTGTCACGTCGATTCCGACTCACAGTGACCCTACAGGACAGAGCAGAACTGCCCCATAGGGTTTCCAAGGAGCAGCTGGTGGATTCAAACTGCCAACCTTTTGGTTAGCAGCCATAGCTCTTAACTACTGAGCCACCAGGGCTCCAGAAACAGAAATGTCCGGTGTCATTGTAAGAATTAACAAGACACTGCATGTAAAAATGAAGAAAATTCATTAGGCGCTCCATCACGAGCCAGGCAGAGTTCTGAGCACCAGGGACGCACTGAGGAAACACTTGGTGGCGTACACAAGGGACATGCTGCACAAATATTAGTGCCTCCTTCCTCCCTTTACTATGCTGAAGCATGACTAGGCTTAAGGAAAATGGTGCAGTGACCGTATGTGAACTTTCCCCATCTCACACTCCTCTCCACTTTCACACGGGATCCAGTCTCTTCACACCCACTACTCATCTGACCCCACACCCCTCCCCAAGCCCTCTTCATCAATGTCCTAATGCAGCATGCCCCATCTGGACAGACAGCCTACTGTATACTACAATACTCCTTTCTCCCTCCCTCCAGCAAAACCTACCTCTTCCAGTGTCCAGACCCTCAGGGCACTGCTTTCCAAATATTAGCAAACACATGTCATAAGTCAGTCAAGCCAACTGTGTAAGTGAGGACTAATATCTTTATTAACCCTCACAGGAAACACATTTTCCTTTCAGCAGTGGCCTCCTGGAGACATAATACCTTACTCAAAGTCATGACTTCCTTGATGAGAATTTTAAGCACAATACACTGATGAGGGCCCTTTATATAATATCTCCTATACATTATACCCCATCCCACCCCACCCCACCCCTGTCTGACAGTTTATTGTACTGTAGTGGCTTGCATGTTGCTATGATGCCAGAAGCTATGCCACCAGTATTTCAAATACCAGCAGGGTCACCCACGGTGGACAGATTTCAGCAGAGATTCCAGATTAAGACAGACTATGAAGAAAGGCCTGGATCTACTTCTGAAAATTAGCCAATGAAAACCTTATGGATCACAACAGAACATTGTTCGATACAGTCCTGGCAGATAAGCCCTAGGTTGGAAGGTAGTCAACAGTGGCCACAACGATGAACTCAAGCACACCGACGACTGTGAAGATAGCCCAGGTTCAGGCAGCATTTCCTTCTGTTGTACATAAGGTCACCGTGAGTCGCAGCCGACTTAATGGCAACTAACAACAACAACGTACATTAATTATACCATATAACTTTAGGACAAGTCCTGGAAGTTGTACTTTTTCTTTTAATTTTTTTTTTATTTTACTTTAGATGTAGGTTTACAGAATAGTTTCTCATTAAACAGTTAGTACACATATTGTTTTATGACATTGGTTAACAACCCCACGACATGTCAACATTCTCCCTTCTTGACCTTGGGCTCCCTATTACCAGCTTTCTGTCTCCTCCTGCCTTCTAGTCCTTGTCCTGAGCTGCTGTGCCCCATTAGCCTCATTTTGTTTTATGGGCCTGTCTCATCTTTGGCTGAAGGGTGAACCTTGGGAGTGATTTCATTACTGAGTTAAAAGAGTGTCCGGGGGCCATTCTCTTGGGGTTTCTCCAGTCTCTGTTAGGTCAGTAAGATCTTTTTTTTTTTGTGAGTTAGAACTTTGTTCTACACTTTTCTCCGGCTCTGTCCAGGACCCTCTGTTGTGATCCCTGTCAGAGAAGTCAGTGGTGGTAGCCGGGCACCATCTAGTTGTACTGGACTCAGTCTGGTGGAGGCCATGGTAGTTGTGGTCCATTAGTCCTTTGGACTAATCTTTCTCTTGTATCTTGTTTTCTTCATTCTCCCTTGCTCCCAAAGGGCTGAGACCAGTGGAGTATCTTAGATGGCTACTCACAGGCTTTTAAGACTCCAGACGCTGCTCACCAAAGTAGAATGTAGAACATTTTCTTTATAAA